TGAAGAATTATATCAATTGAAAGCAAGTTTATTTAAATTATGGATAAGTGGCCCTGTACCTTCCGCAGTTTTCCTTCATCAACAAACTTTCTTCTAGGGGCTTGAATGGTAGAGTTTACAGTTGACCTCGGAGAGCTATCAGTACCTGTGCTCATATTTGGGCCATTTGGCTGTACCATTCTACACAAAGCTGGTGGAGCAACACCTGACAACTGCAAACAGGGGCAGTAAGAGCAGAGGTGACACAAAAAGAAAAGGATTTAGCTGATTTTGTGTGTATATTTTGATTTTGACAAATACCAGTTTCAATGTTTTATTTCGGGTACAACTAAGTCTTATATAACTGAGTGATTATGCCCTAAACACTCTCGCATTGAATTTTTTAAGTTTGAGACCTTAATTTTAGAGACACAGGTGTTTTATACATAACAGTAGCCAGCGGAATCGGATTTTCAAAGGTCTACATTTTTTTTACATTAAGGAGTCAAATGAGTTTTTCAGGAGTCTTGGTTAGCAATGTGCTTCTTAGGTAGCTATCTTAATGGGGAACCTTCACCATAGAGGAAGAGAACAATTTGTCTATGAGTTGTAACATAGGGATCACACATTGATAATGAATTTTTTGTTGCTACCCAGAATCCACTTAATCCAATTCACAGACAAAGCTTTGAAACTGGAGCCACCCCACCGAACCCTACAATTTTTGAGAGGCAGGAAAAACTAGCAAATAGCTAGATAGGTACCTTTGGGGTTTCGAACCTCAGACCACATGAAAGCAAACCATGGGCCTGACCGTTCCAACTAACCCCGTGTTGGTACATTGATAATGAAATTTTGAAAGAAAGGCAACTACTCTCTCCATCCATCCCTTCACAATATTTCCCCTTTTCTGAACCCCAAGTTCTGTCTGATGCCCTAAAGTCCTCAATAACCTCCCAAGCGCTCACAGTCATAAAATTACCTGCTGTGCAGAATTTCAGTAGCCAATGTTCCTCATAGCCAGCCTCTCCTCCTTCCATTTAATCCAATATTCGAACCATACTTTGATTTACATACCATAATTCTTCTCTTACAACCCTAAGTCCTTAAGCCACAACTTTATAAATCCTAAAGCCCATCGCATATCCATTTGTAGGCAATATTTGCACCTATCCTACGTCAGATGGCCTACTTTGGAATAATGACACAAACTTAAGTGTAAATTACCAAACGTTTTCTTTCAAAACAAAACCTAATTGAAGAGGTCTTCACCCATAATTGCAAACCAAAACAGATATCATATTATTCAAAACCATGAGGAATATTGGGCAGCGGAAGAAAGGAAAGAGATGCAGCAATAAATGCAGGACTACTAGAACAAAAGTGGAGGAGATAACTTATATATACCTGCATGGGCATTGGTGAAGGAGTGTTATAGAAAGACAGGCTAGAACTGCCATTCATAGGATGGCCAGAAGCTCCTCCCAAAATAACATGAGAATTTCCAGACACATCTCTTATGTTATTTCCTTGCATGTGCTTGAATTGTCTCTGACTAACATCTTCCGAGCTAAAGTTCCTAGCAGAAACTAAATTACAGTCCTCATTTAAGGTAAGTAAACTTTGAGAAGCTAATCCATGATGTAGATACTGCTTTTGTATGGAAAGAGAAGCAGCTTCACCAAAAACTACAGCTGCTTCTTCAGCGGAACCTGGAACAATGGAAATACAAAGCCTTAACTTAAATATGTATTGAAAGAGAAGCCCTGACTTATTCTCCAACTTGCAAATCAAGAGAAGGCTTGACTTTAGGATAAATATCCAGCTAGAATTTTCCCATTTCAGGGTACATGGTTACATGCATCCAGATTGATATCTTAGCAAAATGATCAGTTGTTAGACAAAGAGGCATAATGATTAACGCAAAAGTGCTGGAATAAAAAGAATATGAAGTCATGTGTGTAACATTGTCCAGACCTAGCACGCACAGTTCTTCATATGCAGCCCACATAGAAGGATCTATAGTCAAAGCCTGTTTGAAGTGATGGATGGCACTTTTCCTCCTATCAGTATACCTAGAATAAAACCAATTATAAACAATAATATCATGAGAGGCATGCATCACGTACATATAATGTTATACAAGAACAGAAAATTGACATAATCATACAATCCAGGCACGAAATAACTATAAGATGCAAAAAACAGAGATAATGAAGTAGTTGCAGGATGATAAGCTACAAATTCCTTAGAATGGTAACAAACCTAAGTTAATACAACACAGCAAAGTCCTCTATTCTATCCCAAGAGACATGCAACCAGAGAGACGGAGGAACAACTTAGAAGAGGACACGAATCTGAAGAATTTCACAAGCACCACCTTAAGTTTACCTGACATTACTAGGACGAACTACATGCACGCCTATCATACCCCAAAAGATATTTCTAGGAGGTACAACAACACTACCACTACTGTTCACCTCTCACAATTGAGTACAGCTTCATAAAATCATAGGATTCTGTCAAAATACATCCCGTACTGGAATGCTCTTTTGCCTGACATCTTACTGAGATGGAACCCAATAAAGTGGTCCTTTAGAAAGTAATTTTAGCCATCATCACAAGAAAGTCTCTTTCAAGAAACTTATAAAGTAGATATGCCTTTGGCTACATCCGCAGAAGCTCCAGAAGAAAGAAGACAAACCTGTAAATAAGCCCCAGAAGGTAATGACCAGCTGCACCATTTGGAACCTGCAAAAATAATTAAGAGCAAGTCATCTGCTGTTTCGATCACATGATAATGTCTAAAGGGTATATGAGGTTCATTTCAATTCCTGTAGAAAACAATGAAACCCTGAAGAACATTGTGTTATATGAAGTCAGACTTCAACAAGTAATAATGTAAATTTTAATTTAGACATAATGCTCCAAACAATTTGATTCTGATACCTCTGCACTAGGCTCATTAACAGTACATAATGCTGCTTCTGCTTCACTAAGAAGATCCATCTGAAAGCATGATATTGCAAACAAGTAGCGGGATTGAGCCACTTGTGTTCCTTCATAAAAATCAACAGAAAGAAGAGGAGAGGTCCATGTGATGAGAAACGCTAACTAAAAACCTTAATTAAAAAGAAAGAAAGAACCTACAAAAATAAAAATATACTCAAACAGTATATGAACTATGACATTGCCTACCCTTTAAAATATGATAAGCAGCATAAGCTTGATTGCTTTGCAAGTAACAGCCAGCTAACAATTGTAAATTTGTCTGCAATGGAACAACTTGTCAATCAGTCCATAAACAATTAACAAACTGAAAAAACAGCTCTACCCATTCAACCAGAAAATAAAAACACCACCAACACAACTTCTTCCAATAGACAGTTCTAAATTTTAGAACGGGTACATTTCCCGTCAACTTTCGAAAGTGGCATAACCAATCTGATTAATTCTATCAAAAAAGTGGCACAGTGGAAAGTAAACCACATTAAGAAACCCCATTTTCAAAATACCCACAGCTTCATGCTTCATTGCAAAAAGAATATTACCAAAAACAATTCGCAGTCCAGAGCTCCAATAATTTAAAGCTAATAGCAAAGCAAAGGCAACTAATTCAACTACATAATTACTTATCCTCAAAGAAAAACATTTTATTCCAGAAAAAGAATAATGTGAACCCTGGGTAAATATAAATGTTTGGGAGATTCTAAACCCTTAAAACCCTAGATTTCAAATACAGAACACTGAATTACTCAGGTATAAGTAAAATCTTAACGAAGTCGTTGGTTAAGTAACACGAAGCATCGATCATGATGATAAAAGCGGTAATGTTCCCCAGGGTCGCCGTGAAGCACTAGCAGAAGAGAAAATTTCATTTCGAATTTTCCATCTTCGTTTTTCCTTTCCTGGGATTTCTCGGTAACCAAACAAACAGGCAATAAAAGAAAAAGAGTAAAGAGAAGGTGGAGAAAGGTACCTCGGATGGGTACTCGGCACAGAGTCTTTCGCAGAGGAAAATGGCGTTTCGGTACATGAAATCGCGAAGACTGTGTTGAACACAGTCTCTGAGTATGGCTTCCATGGCTGCTTTGATTTGGTGAGAGGGAGAGAGAAAGAGAGATGAAGAGGGGTTTTGGTTTAGTTTTGGGTTTCAAAATCAGGGCGGCACGTGTGATCTCCCATTTCAAATCACGCGTCAGGTGACATTTATTTTGATTTTTTATTTTTGGTTTAAAATTACGTACCACAAAACAAAATTGGATTTTTATATGACGCATTAACTCCATTGACAAAAATAAAGAAAAATACGATAAGGCTGCAACGGTTAAGAGCAAGAAGACCAAACAAAGCAAAACAAAAATTATTTTATTTCATGAATAAGATTAATCGGATACTGTGTTATTCTATTTGTTTGATCGTAATTGAATCACCAATTTGGATTTTAAGTAGTTAACTTATATTAAATTACAATCCACTTTTTTCGATCTTCATTTTGGTGAGATTCACTTTGTAAACTTCTTATTTTGGTGATTTTTCTATTTTCATCGTCTCTAGCATCATGATCTTGAATTCGGGTAGATTAAACAAATTTCTATTTCATAATTTATGATTCCCTAACTATACTCTACATGATAAAAATATAAATTTGAACAACTAACTCTTTGTTTAATGATTAACTAGCCTTTAGTCTAGTGGTATTTGTCTCTACTTAATTAGAGGATGTCTCATGTTCGACTCATATAGATGGCCATAACGATTTATATTTGTGGCTAGCCCTATGAATCTATTGTGAAAATATATTATAAATATCTTATATTTGTCAAAAACTCTTTATTTAGTGATATTTTTATTTTTAAATCGAATAAGGTTCTAATTTTAAATCTTCCCGTTAATAAAAGAAGATGCCGTACGGCCCCAAAAAGAGAAAACAAAAGGTTAAATATGTTCAATTGGTCCGGCCCATATGAGCGGCCCAAAAGCTGGGGTGATACCTTAACCCGGTCTTAGAAGAAAAAGAAAATGGGTAGGAAACAAAAGCCAAAAACAAAAACAAACGCAAAACGCTAGCTCGTGAACACCTTTCGCTTCCATGGACGACCAGACCGGAGCACCGCCACCGGCTCCGAATTCGGAAGGCTTCGATGATCCGACAATGGAGGACGATCCTTCCTCGACGGTCCTCGATCTCACCAGCTTCCAACTCCACGATCTGGACTCGATCGAGTTACCACCGAGTCTAACCGAGTTAGACGTGACGGCGAACCGCCTCACCAGCTTGGACACTCGGATTGCAACCCTCTCGAACCTTAAGAAGCTCTCTCTCCGCCAAAACCTCATTGAAGATGCCGCCGTTGAGCCGATCTCTCGTTGGGACGCTCTGTCCGGTCTCGAGGTACTTCCTTTGTTTTCTTTTTTAATGAAATTAAAAGGTGGTTTTCTTGGCGGTTTGTTTGGTTCCCGGGAAAATTAACAGTTGATATGGCCTGCAGGAGTTGGTGCTGAGGGATAATAAGCTAACGAAAATACCCGATGTTACCATATTCATCAAGCTTTTGGTTTTCGATGTTTCTTTCAACGAGATTACGTCGTTACATGGATTGTCCAAGGTCTCCAGCAAGCTCAAGGAGCTCTATGTTTCTAAAAATGAAGTTGCCAAGATTGAAGAGATTGACCACCTCCATGAGCTTCTAATTCTTGAGCTTGGTTCCAACAGATTACGGGTTAGTTTTCTTAACACCAAAGTTTGAAGGAGCATTTGAAATTATGTACATGGCTGTATTGATAGTGTAGCAATTGGCATCCACCTTGTTATGATTGTACGGTGAAATGCCAAATCAGGTGATGGAGAATTTGCAGAACATGACACATTTACAAGAGCTGTGGCTTGGGCGGAATCGAATTAAGGTAGTGAATTTGTGTGGGCTGAAATGCATCAAGAAGATTAGCTTACAAAGCAATCGCTTAACTTCTATGACTGGATTCGAGGTACTGGGTGGCCGGTCCACTGTTGTTTATTTGAGACAAACTCTCTAATGGATTGGTTGTATAAATATTGAAACTGACTCCCCGCCTCTTTTCCAGGGGTGTGTTGCTCTAGAGGAATTGTACTTGAGCCATAATGGTATTTCAAAAATGGAAGGCCTCTCAACCTTAGTCAACCTACATATCTTGGATGTATCAAACAATAAGCTAACGTCAGTGAATGGCATTGAAAACCTAACAATGTATGTGTTTTACCTCGTAGTCACTGTTCGTTTGATGTTGTTTTGTCTTTCATATTTGATTCTACCTTATAATGGGATTCTCGTGTATAGGTTAGAAGACCTATGGCTTAATGACAACAGCATAGACTCAGTTGAAGGCATTGCTGAAGTTGTTGCTGGTTCAAGAGAGAAGCTCACTACCATCTATCTCGAGAATAATCCATGTGTATGGTTATCTGCAACCTGAAGGACCTAAAATATTTAAAGTTCTGGTATTTTATTCTTTCAGCATGCTTAGCTGCAGTTTAAGGAAGTTAAAATTAGTGTGTTCAGAAATGTGCAAGGTGGTATGTTAGAGTTCATGCAACTCTAATGCTTTGCTCACATAAGTATAGTGGTGAAATGTAGTAGCAATATTCTGATTGTTTGTTGAAGGTCCAATGTCTGGTAAAGAAAAGGAAAAATAGTGGCTATGAGATTCCGTAAGCATGAATTATCTGACATATACATGATTGTATCTTCTAGGGTTTCATGTCCATTAGTACAATGAAGGCAGGACGATGGTACTCTGTTTCTATGAACTGGTATATGGTCAAAGAATATTGAAAGCAGATTTTTAGGTGGCAAAGAAGATTGGCAAATACTCTTTTACATATAAATATATGATTGATTAGTTATGCATCTTCCTTTTTGTTTTGTGTTGATAATTTTTTCTTAAGTATGTTGGCAGATGTATTTCATATGCTTTTAAGATTTTCTATATATTGATTCTTGCATATCCTATTCCAGGCGAAATCTCCAAACTATGCTGCTGCCTTGAGACAAATCTTCCCAAATATACAGCAAATTGATTGTCATATATTTGCTTAAAGGTTTCCATTGGCTTCAGCTCTGTCACCATAATTTTCATGTGAGCACTGGAAATCCATAACTGCAATGTAGGTATTTTTTCTCAACTATTTTGTTTTATTCCCAGTGATTATAGTAGTGAGTGTCTCCTCAAAATGACTTATTTTTTGTAATGTTCGAGTTCTAATTCATGGAAGTTGTTTGCAGGCAAACCTGTGGTTTGGGATACCAATTCATTCAGGATACTAATTAGGGGCCCTATCTCAAAGGGGCAGGTGCTACGAAATAGTGATAAATTGCAAAATCATGGATGGCTCAAGAACTCACTTGATGATTTTAAAACGAATTTTCTGTGTTGTATTATGAAGTTCCCTGTTATTTAGATCACCCGGTTTTCCTTTTCCTCTTTCTTGCCATTTTTATGTGGCAGGTAATGTTGAACTTTTTAATCCTTCATATATGACATGTTGATTGTATCAGTTTTGAATGCTGAGTAGATGCGTCAATAGCTTTACTGCCTTACGACAGCTTCCTTTGCACGGGAACATCATTCCCAGCCAGTGTGTAAGTATAAATTTTGTCAGATTTTCGATGAATGGTTGGGCTTTGTATGGGTGAGAAACTGCAATAAGGAAAAAAAAGGTAAGAAGCAGGGATAATAAATAAAAATTAAACAGATGCAATTCTGAAAGTTTAACATCTAACAAAAAGAAGTATGAATCATTCACGATTAGTCAGTCAAAACTCAAAAATAAATAAAGAAAAGAGGATCAAGAGCTTAGCTGATCGGAACCGCTTAGCGACCCCGTTCAAATCCAATATGGGTTCTGCTGGAGCCCCCCTTGGTAGCCATCTCGCATGGAAGACCCTGCACTTGCTCTCATTGCTCCTCCTGTTCCAACCTCTTCCGTGGCTTTTGTGCTCCGTTTCACCTTTGTCAAGAACCGGTCCAGACCAAATGGATCGGCTTCTTCAGCAGCATCTTTCTCAAACTCGACCGGTCACCCTCTTGGACCTGCCCTCTCAGCAGCTCCTCCAAATCCTTTGTCAGGTTTGAAGCGATCAGTTTTCTTAATCTTATCCAACTGCTCATCAGCACCTCCGTACATTTCATCATCAACATCCTTCTTAGGCATGTACAAGGTTGAGAGTGTAGGTGGAGCAGTGGACAAGCCCTTGTCATAAACGTTGTACTGGTCATCAGTGGCAAGCCCAGATTCCATTCCTTTCTCCTGGTTGAACAGCCTCTGGTCATACATAACCTCTCCCCCTCTGCTTGCCCCAGCAGAAGCCATGCCGAGGGCAACTTTCTCACTGATATCCCGATCTCGATCTCTTGTAATTTTACTTTTCTTCCCCATTGGTGCATCTTTGGGCTCCAACCTTCTCTCCCTTTCCCTTTCTCGGCGTCGCTCCTCACGGATCTTCTCCCGCTTCAACCTTCCTTCTCTTTCCTCTCTTGTCTCCTTCGGATAATCAGTCTCTTTTTTGTTTGTTGGACGCTCATAATCCCCTCTCCCATCATTGTCCATTGCTGTTCTGTTAGAAGGCATTGAAACTACAGCAGGAGGAGCTGCACCACCCATTCTCTCGGAACGAGCCCTCTGAGCTAATATCCTCAAGTCCTGCTCTTTCTTTTCCTTCTCCTTCGTCAACATTTCCTCCTGAACTTTTTTTCTCATAGCAATTCCCTCTCTAGCCTTCTGCTCTGCTACATACAAAGCCTCATTAAGCTTTGCCCAATTATCAAGAAACAGACCACCAAGTTCTTGAAGGACTTTCACCTCAGTTGCAAGACGTTTGTCCAATGGGATCGTATACCCTTTCTGATTCTTCCAATTTGAAATACAAGGTGGAATCTTCCAATCCTTCAGGTCTTTCACAGTCACCGGCCTTGGCGGGGAATGCATGACCGGCACAGGCGGGGACCCAGAAGGCCTCGGAACACGCTTATGCTTGAACTTAGGAGGCTCAAGTGGGTCCACAGGCATCTCTGCCATCCTGATAATCCTCGCCTTGGCACCAGAATTAAACGCCGCTGCCTTCTGCGATGGCATGTACTTGATAATTTTCGAGCCAGTCGACTTCTTGGCTATATTTTTCGGCTGTGCAGTGCTCAATCTCACATTCACAATCGTCTCAAGCGCAGCTTTTGTTTCTGCTGTTGTTTCTTCAATCTCCTTCTGCAACTCCTCCTCTTTCTCATTCGCATCATCCATCTCCTCATCCTCATTCTTCAAAATTTTCGGCACAAGATCCTTGTGCTGTGAGTAGACAAGTTTTTTCGAGTTCTCGTTCTGCTTAGCAATGGCATCATACCTGACATTCCCCCTGGTATTAACTGTAACCGGAAGTATGTTCGTACCGGGTTTCGACAACTTGTCCCTGCCCATGCCAAGAGGGTACTGAGCTATATGAATCTCAGGGAAAGCACCCCCATCCCCAAACTCCTCCACCTTCCTAGGAACAAAGCCTTGACGCTTCAAGTAAGGAGGTACAGGCTTTGGCTTGACGACAGCAGCAGATCTTTGTGCCTCAGCAGAACCGAAGCGCTGCTTGAACCACGGATCATTCGAGTGGTCGTAAGAAACCGTTGTGGTTGCTGCCGGAGGCGGAAGAAGCCCTTTCAAAGCCGTCATGAATCATGATTGATGAGCTCTTTCAACCCCAAACTATTCAAATTGAACAGAGTGCAAAAGAACAAATAAAGCAAAACTTTCGAATATTGAAGAAAAATTAAGCAAAGCGATCGAAGCGGAAAATGGGCACATAGCTTTGGCTTGTCTTACGTTTATATTGAAGGATGGAGTTTTCCTTATTATATTGGGACAAGGAATCCATATTCAAAACAGAGAGTAACCGCCAAATTCTATGGGGCATCTGTCATTTCCAATCCACAAAGGGTAAAAACACTATGGGCCATCTGTTAATTGAGCCCAGAGAATGGTCTCAAGGCCCAGGGCAAGCCAACCCAAAAGTGAATTTGCTCGCAACGTAACCTTTTTTTTACTTACAAGATATCCTTTTAGAAAGTGACTTTTACATTCTTAAAAAAACAAACTACTTATAAATTTTTTGAGAAATTTAAGCTCAAATTTAAAACTTAGAGAAAATAGGGAGCGATAGAGACGGTCTCTATCGCTTATTATGGTTTCATGCATGCGGAAGGAAGAAATGGAAGTAAATATAGAGGCCGATGAGGTCTCCGACCACCATGGTGGCTTGCTTGCCTACCTTCACTTCCTTTTCCAATTTTTTCATTTTTCTACTTTCTAAAAAATAGAACATGAAACATAAAGGTTAAGTTTGCCTTCTTTTCAAAATAGCTGTAGCAAGAAAATTTCATAATAATTAAAAACAAAGTATAGGGTGTCATGCACAACTAGGTGTCTATAGCAAATTTGAAGGTGTATTTAGAAATGCCCATTTATTTTTGCTTTGTGGTAAGGTTTTGTGATAATTAATTTGTCCAGCCCATCAGATTTTATTTTACTTTTTTTTTTTTTTTTTATAAAGGAAGACTCGTTTTCAGCCCATCCCATTTGACAGTTGATTGACTCACCGTTAAGCCCTGCCTCCTCGTATCATATCACGCCACGTGACAGTTTGCGTAGCGCGAAACCAATCACGAGGTTTGCTCCTTGCAACAATACCAAAGGCCACGTATAAATGTAGAAGGCCATTTCCGTGATTCCGTGGACATTTTAGGGGTAGTTTCGTAGTTCCCGAAAATCAACTTGTCTCACTCTCTTTCTCTCCCTGTGTAGTGTTACAAAGTCTTCTCTCCCACTTCGTAGTCACTGCCCACAAAACCCTTCATCAGACCTCAGTCTCCTCTATCTTTCTCTCTCTTTCGAAAGCTCGGAGCTCGATTTGGCCGTCAATGGCGGCCTCGGAGACCTCCAATGGCACATCCTTGAGGCATGCTTTTGGAAATGTCCTCTCCTTCTTCATCCTCATCCTGATCGGTGTTCTCGCATTTTCGATCCGTCTCTTCTCTGTGAGCTCTACGATCAATATAATTTCTTCAATTTTCTAGATCCAATCGTTTTTTAATATTAAAACCCAGTGTTGGTCGCTTGGCAGCCTCGATAATTCAGGAAAATGCATAACTAATCCAGTTATATGTATATTTATACTCTTGTGCATATAGATACATTTTATTCAAATTTAGACTTCCATATTTTCTGTTATAACTTATAACTCTACTGAACCAAATGGTGTTTTTGTAATAAGTTTGACTTTAGATTATTCTGTAAATTGTTGAGTTCTAATTTTCATAACATTGAATTATCATTCATAATTTCATTTCTCAGCAATCAAAAGGACTGAAACTGTGTGTTAGTACTCACTTTAATTTTGCTTTGTGAATTGATCTACAGGTCATAAAATACGAGAGTGTAATTCACGAGTTTGATCCTTATTTCAATTACAGAGTCACTCAGGTTTGGTTTCTTTGTCTCATTTGAGATTGGTTTTCACTTGTCTTGCACTTAGATAGTATAATTGTAACTCAATCCCATGCCATTGCTGTTGGGTTAAATGTATTTGGAAATTTGAAATTTATGATCAGAGTATGCATCGATTCATCTTATTATATTACAATGATGGGAAGCTATATACAAGATGACATCCTTGTTTGTTGGTTTCAGTTTCTGACAAAGAATGGAATATACGATTTTTGGAACTGGTTTGATGATCGAACCTGGTAATTTCTACTTTTTGTGGCTTATCAAACCTCATGGCAGGGTTCTTGTTTTGATTTTTTTTTTCGGTGGGTTACATAATTCAGCAATATAAAGCTAATATTTCTTAAACTGACATTATAAGGTATCCTCTTGGTCGTGTGATTGGTGGAACTGTTTACCCTGGATTGACCTTGACAGCAGGAACCCTATGGTGGTGAGTATTGCAGTTTATAATTGAAATGTTAGAATATTCTTTCCTTTTGATTTTTAACTACCAAGTTTGATGTTGTTGATTTTGATATTGCTCTCTTATATCAGGTTGTTGAATTCATTAAACATTCCTCTTTCTGTGGAAACTATTTGTGTATTTACTGCGCCTATATTCTCTGCTTTCACATCATGGGCAACTTACCTTCTGACTCGGGTTTGTGTTCAGCCTTAATTATTTTCTAGATTTTAGTTATTGGCCTCCAATTTGTTGATATGTTCAGTTGCCTCTTTCTTCAGGAAGTTAAGGGTGCTGGTGCTGGACTAACAGCTGCAGCTCTTATAGCCATGGTAAGTTACAGAGCGGGTACTTTTAACTCTACAACATATGGAAGTGGTAAGCACAAAGGTTTATCTGTGCCCTTTTTGTGTTTTTGTTTGTAGGTCCCATCATATATTTCTCGGTCAGTGGCTGGAAGCTATGACAATGAAGCCGTGGCTATTTTTGCTTTGATCTTCACTTTCTATCTTTATATAAAGGTCAGATTTGGGAAAAGACAACTTTATTTCGTTCTTTTGGGTGTTTCATTAA